TGTTCATAGGGAAACTAATGGAAAATTCGTCATTTCTAAGCTGAGGTAGAAACTGTAGTTCCTAATTGCAAAATATGATCCATATGGTCAATGGTCATCCCGGGAAGAATTCCTAATTTGCTTACTATTACACTAGTTGTTGTTACATAGTTGATACATTCCCTTCATATTTCCATTCTGAAATTCTGCAGGTGAGAATATGTGTCTGCGACACTGCTGCTTCCTTCTTGCATTTTTCTGCTTCGAAGGATGACCAGCTGTTACAATTGTACAAAAGAGCATGCACCCCTTCCCTCTTCAAAAGTAATCTTTGAGCATATCGTAAAGTTTAAGACGTTATTTTCTTAAAATAGTAATACTTTTTAAACACTGCTATTGAAATACACATTCTGGTAATCTCTACGTCGTTTTACTGTAAATTTAAGAAAAGCCTGGAACGGGATGTTGGAATTTTCAGCCAACGTGCGTTGGAAGTTCTGTTTAAAGCAGAAAATTCAGGAGGCTGCACTGCACTGAGAATTGGGCCAACAAGACCGAAACGCGTCTGGAGATGCCTTCCTGAATGCGGACGTAACTATTGTTGCTCCAAACAGCGTATCTCTTTGGGGGAAAATTGTGCTTGAGTGTGAGCTTTTTCCCTCTGTATTGAGATATCTGCTTTAAGCTGAACTTCTAATGCACGTTGGCTAAAAAACTCCAACATCCCGTCTTACGACCGTTGCGTCCACCACAATCGGTTTGTGAAAAGCCTGGAAGTTGGAAACATTTTGTAATACGATGGCAGGCGTGAATTAACATTATAAACAGAACAAAATTGTTTCCTGCGAGCATGGAGTATTATAATGATGAGCTGCTAATTCTTGAAACTAGATTTTTTAACTACAAACTTCAAACCGTCATATTTCCGGTTTGATTTGTCATTTTTTGGCGTTTTTGTCAAAATATGTTTTAGAATACTCCTTAATATTTTGGTACTCATAACTCATCAGCGAGTTTTTTGCAGGCTAAGGAATTTCTCTCCATAGGTGGTCACAACCTGCGGAGTGATTACTGAAATTGATAGATAAAGCGATAGACAAAAAGAAAATGAAGCGTTCCTATTAGTGGTTATTATAGACTTGGGGGGAAAATGATGGACTAGTTTTGAGCTATATGATCACTAGGGTGGGTTGCCGTTTGTTAGTATATTATTAGCATCCTTTGATCATCGTACGATTAGGATCGCTCAATTTCTCTTTGTCATCTCTCACCATGATGACTTTGTCTATCAATAAAAAATTTGCTTGTGTCTGAAATTTGACGAATCGCGTGTTTAAATGGAACTATCTGAGTGACATGTATACAAAGATACCCTTGGCTCGTATATTGAACAAGTATCAGAGGAGATATGATAAAAATGACCCAATTTGCTGAAATACACGTTTTTAAATGCGAAATGCCGCCAGATGACGTCACAAGGCGGTGCATTTTCCCACTTTGAAATCTGTTTTTATACCATTCCCATATCAGGAAAAATTACAGAAAATATCGCGAGATCAGCTTTTTAAGCGCTTTCAGGTGCGAAGAAATAAAAAATTCAAGTGCGAGTTCTCCATTTCAATAATTGTCCCGCTGTATGAGAAATGTCAAAAGTACAAGTGTTCGAGAATCTCCGTTTGATCTAAAATTTATGCCGATGGATTTACCGCTCGAGTGCACAAACTGGCAACGTTGGCGAGATGGAGCGATGTAGAGAATGAGGCCCCGTGCTTCACGCTCCTAATAGATATAAATGTGACGCGCGCGTCGTTAAGGAGGGAGCGTTTAAAGATCTCTTCAAACCTTAAGGAACAATTGAATTAAGTCTTTGCAGAGTGGTGTCTAAATTAGATTCTCCGGTTCAGGCATCCGAGAACTTCCAACTCCACTTCCGGGTGCAAAACGCAGCTCGCTTGAGATGCAGGAACCATGAGAAATTTCAGCAGCGGGCCATCAAAGAAGGTCACAATCACAGCGCCAACTGCTCCGGCTCCAGGTGCTACATAACCTATTACTCGGACTCAGGGGTGCTTTTAGCGGTACTTAAGGCGTCATAGAAGGATTGCCTCAGTGGTTGAAGTGATGGAATACTTAATGTGGGGTGATGGATTCGATCGACATGAATCGATTGAGAATCGATCGACGCGATCCAATGCACTGAGAGAGAAATCTCGGTGTATTTACTAAGAAAAGGGTAAAATTACCAAGAGTTAAGGATTCTATTTGATCCCAGTTTTTTCTCGGTAAAATTACCATTTATGGAATTGGTAATTTTCCGAGGAATCTCGGTAAAATTATTGAACTTTCTCGGTAATTTTACTGGACCTTGGTAAAAACGCCAATATTTTCATCAACTGTGGTAGAATTACCGAGATAAAATGGCAAAGTTACCGGGAATCGATTATCAATAAAAGTGGTATTCTTACCTGAAAAAAAAACCAGTAAAAATACCGGTTTTTAGGTTAGCTTACCAGTCTGTCTTGATTAAATTACCAATAATTGGTAAACAAATTGAGATGGTAAAGGTAACAACGGACCTCGGTAAAAACGCCGAGAATTATTTTTCAGTGTGGAGACCGTTTTAATCCACAAAATTTGATTGCCATTTGGTTCTGGCAACGCATGAGGGTTCATACGGCGTTCTTGCTTAGCACGGCAGAATTGGTGGTCGGCGAAGAATGCTAAGGATGAGAGGGGTGCACAGGGTGCAAGAAGGGAAAGAGGGGTCCCGAGGGAACTGTGTCTGTTGATTACGACGAGAGCACCGGAATTACATCGGCGGAATTAGAACTCTCGACACGGCCCTTGATTAATCGAATGCCCCGCCTCATTTTAATAATTCGAAGCCCTGATTAATTAATCGAGCCATGCATTTTATTTAATCCGTTTACAAACCGACTTGACGTGCGGCCGGGGTGCCATGGACACCCGATTAACCGCAGTCTCGACTCTATTACTCATTCCCGATTGCCACTCTCCAGTGCCAAGGAAGAACGCCGTATGAACGTTCGAGAGTTGCAAATTTCCCTTGATGAAACATGTATTTTCTCGGCAACATTCATGCATATTTTTCCTTGAAATTTTCAGATATTTTAGATTGAATTGCGTACAAAATTGTCTGAAAATGTTGGAAAATAATATTCACGATTTTCCGAGCGAATTCGATGTTTATCGGAGGGAACTTGGCAACGTCTGAAGGATCATACGGCGTTCATCCTTAGCCCGGCAGCACTCGCCTCTCACGAATTTTGCAGATAACTTTGATTTCTTTTCGTTATGCTGTTTTCTCACCAGAGAGCGCTTCCATCGAATTTTTCGAAAAAACCCGGGTGGCTCGGAAAATGTGTATCATTATATCAGTGTTTTAAAATATCTTTTTTCGTTTACTTTTTGTTTTATTTATTTATTTATTTATTTAAAGACCCTGATACTTGATGTCATATATCGACGGTGAAACTACCAAACCACGTATCTCGGTTTGCGACGTCGCAGACTTCCTGTCATACTTTATTTTTTAAATGAAAAGCTACTTAACGTCCAGTCTTGAAAATTTCCGTGATTTTTCCTCTTCGTGCTGAGAAAATTCTGTGAAAATTTCAAGGAATGATATTGATTTGGTCTACTTCTAAAAAATGAAATGTGAGCGGAGATTTTTAAACACCGCAAACGAGATACGTGGTTTGGTAGTTTCACCGTCGATATAGTGATCAGAAAAAATTCAAACAGTTAGTTTTCTTTTTAGTTACAAAGAAAATACAAGCTAAGATTTGTAAAACCACGATCGAAGTTATGGACGTTCCGATTCCAGACATTAATACTCGACTTTCGGATGAGACGTTCCAGCAGGGCTGATTATTCGATTTGATAGACAAAGCTATAGATGCAGAAGACATGGGGAATATGGCGCGATTCTTTAGGTTAAAACGAGTAATTTCGATGTACGGAAGAGTTAGCAATGGACTAACTGACGGTATTCCACGAGGGACTAAAGTCAGTTCATAATTTTTCCCATTTGTCTATCACAACCAAACGGTTCCACCGATTGGATCTCTCCGTATCCCTTTTGTCTTCTACGTCAGTAGCTTTGTCAATCAATTTCAATAATTAACTAGCAGGTAAGTTGCCCAAATTCAGTGGAAGTTAAATATTTTAGAGAACATTCACCAGCGCGCAAAAATTTGGAGTCCCGGACCAACATGCTTATCCATACTCATGCAAAATTACAAATTAAACACATTGTAGTGAGGACGAACTGTAAGTTTTTCTTTACAAATAAATGAGGTTTATTCACCGAAATGTGCAGTTTCTGTATGATTTATACGTTTTTGGATGTGCATTTTGTGTCTCATGAATAGGAGTTACCTATGCATTCTCTCATCGAATATAAACGTCTTGTGTTGCATCGTGACTAATACAAGATCATGGAATGGTGCAAAAAATATGCGATCACATCAAGATTGTAAGGAAGAGGTGTAACAAATTTGAATAAAAAAAGAGGTTGATACACTTTGTACCGCTTCGCTGAAGGATGGTGGCGTAATTAAAAGAGAGAATTATTTTCAAATCTTTCCTAAAACAAATTAATAATTCATGAAAAGGAAGTCACTGAGAAGAAATTGAGTCTTGCAAAGGTCAGCCCCTCGCTTAACTACTGCAGCACCCTCAATCTCTATCCCCTCTCTCGGATCTCTTTTAAACATCCAGCGTCACTTTCCATTCAGGCTCCTGTAAACATTTTAAAAAAGCCCTTTTTATTTATGAATTTTTGAGGCGTGGGACCTAATTGTGAGGGAAAAACGTTAACTGAAATGATGACTCAGAAATTCTTTCCCCTTTTCGCTTCTCTTCGCGCGGTTATTTTCCCAACGTGTCCGTTCTTTTACTTTGTCTCCTCTCATTACGTCGCAAATTTCTCCCTCCACACACCGACCTGCAGAGGTAAAGAAACTTATGATTATTTCACACTTGCGGTTTGTTAACAGGTTTGCATCTTGGTGCCGCATCAGCGAATGAATGAGGAAGTCTCTTGGAGTGTTCGAGCAAAAAAAGCGAATCTGCACTAAATTATCACTATACTTAGGTGGCTCTAAGTAAACGAAACAGATTCGTGGCTACTCTCGGACAAGTTGTGGCTGCGGGGTCTCTCTGCAAAGGGCAGTTAATGCAGTTTTTTATTCTCGTGTCCCAGGCGAGTTATGGCTGGTATTATGCTTTGTAAGCGTGTTGAATAATAATCCTCATTAATGGTTTGCTCTTCTTCTTAGTAGTGTTTTCCCCAAAACTTATTGTGAAATTATGCTAGCTCTCGTTGACAACCTGTGTAGTCACTTTTACGGCGCGAGGTAATTTCAGACCGATGTATTCCTGTTTTTAATCCTAAATTTCCATTAATCTTCAAAATATACCTACTACCCAACCCTATCGAGTCGCCATGGGATGGACCATAAACATCTTTCCGCGCTATTCACGAACCTCTCCGTGGCAATAATAAAATAATAAAAAGTAAAAAAGCGTCGATCAAGATTTTGAAATTTGAAGACAGTGAGCTTAGATGTAACTTGCGTGGTTTTAGGAGCCGACAGAGGATGTTTCAAATAGCGTTAAAGGTACTTAGGGAATAAATTGACTAAAATAACTAAAATTATTAAAAACTTTTGAAACTCACATGTGCATAAAATAAATAAAACCAATTTTGTTTATTTTATATGCAAAAGAGTTTCAATAGTTTTAAATAATTTCAGTCATTTTAGCATATTGTGCAGTCCATTTTACGTGTTTAGTACTTATTGGACAAACCCTGCAACACAGGTATTGGGGAAACATTATTGATAATCTCCCTTTGTTAATACCTATAAGCGTCCTAGAGAAATGAGGAAAGAACGAAATCATTAGAATTAACTGAAAGGCTCCAAGGTTTTGAATTTTCAAAAAAATGTGTTTAATTTCCGAGGAAGGGTGACATCACCATCTTACACAGGGATCCAAGTGGAGAAATATCTATTTTCAAATAACTCTAATGTATTTCTGTCATCCTCAGTCATATGGTATGAAGGAAGTCGAAAGATATCTGGGCACTCTTGAATTTTTTTTTTATCTCATTTTTTTCTCATGATTATAAGGTTGCCTCGAAAGCATTTCGAATAATTCCGTCCTGCAGAAGTACCAAGGAGATTCAAACCAAAGTGAAAGTTAGTTGACATTTTGGAACACCTGTATTTTCCGATTGTTACTCTCAAAAATTGACGCCGTAACCTTAAAAACACGAAAATCGAGTCTAACTAATCATTTTGCAATTTTTAATCGGTACGTGCTCTTCCCTATTTCTTCATGATAACCTAAATCAGGATGAACAGGACAGCATTAAAAATTCTAAATATGATCTCCGCTCGAGGTAAGACCGTGCTCCAGTGTGAATATTAATTTATTTTATTTATTCATCCTAGGTGATTACAAATTATAGAGAACAACAATTACTTTAGCACACTTGCCTGGAGCTTAGCTCGCGTGGCAAGTGTACAAATTGCAAGGGAACAGAGGGTAAGAATTTGTAACGTCGCTAAAAATCCGAGGTAGCACTTAATATTTTTGAGCGCTCCCAGAGTCCGCCGAACTTGATGTCTGCATGTCCCTCTTCACTGAAAAGAAAGATTGGTAGAATTTGCCATTCCTTCACGCTGTATTTCACACAGTGTGAAGAAAGGGTAAATTTTACCAATCTTCAAGTCGATTCTGCCAGAGGGAATCACCTGTACCAGTATATAGTAACGTTCGCCTATCCTCTGGCAGAAGTGACTCTAAATTGACGCCGTGTGAAATACAGCGTGAAGGAATGGTAAATTCTACCAATCTTCTTTGTCAGTGTTCTCTACTCTATGTTTTAACGCTCCTTCTTTACTTGGAAATAAGTACTACGAAAATCACCAGCGGATACAAAACAAACTGATGAGAATTTCAGTACGCGCAAGTTACCGGGAACTTGCCGGTAACTATTCAGTTTCAATTAGATTATTTAGAGGCAAGGAATTTGTGTCAAGTCTCGCGTCCGGTGTCCACACAGGTCAGCCATCCACGTCACTGGAGAATGAGTAATAGTTGAAGTCGCGTAACTAGTGTTGCCGATTCGATGATAAAACTTGCCCGATCCACCCAGTTTCCCCAGGAATTAAGCGATTTGTTCTCGGAGTCGCAACTCTGAGTTGAGCCGCGAGATCCATGTGACCTCTTCTGGTGAGCGGTTGCCACGCAACTGAAAATTGCCGATGACGAGGGGTTTATGTCAGGGAATTTTACGAAATACCTTTCCGTAAAAACTGGAGAAGCTGCAAGAGTTTGCTGTACCTTTCAGCGGGCTGATTGTTGAAAATTATAGATACAGCGATAGACATATAAGACAAAAAGGATATAAGGGGATCCTATTGGTGGAAGCGAGTGATTGCAATGGACAAAGGACGTAGGTGATAGACCAACTAACGGCAACCCACTAGGGACCCGAAAGTTAGTCCATCGTGTACCTCCTTAGTCAATAAGACCTACCCATTCAACTAATAAGATCGCTTCATACTCCGTATGTCTTCTTTGTCTATCGCTATGTCTATCAATTTCAACAATCCGCCGGCAGCTATGGTATGCGAATTTCCCTATAAGCATCCGTGATGGGGACTAATTGGGCGTATTTCTGTCAAACGGAACTATGTGCATTATGATGTGAGCCCTGTGATGCAGATATTCTTATGGGTCTCAGGGCTCGTGTCTTATTAATGCACATAGTTCCGTTTGGCAGGAATACGTCCAATTGTCTGTGAACAAACCGACACTCCTTGGAACCCATACTAGCTGTTTTTTCGGTAAGCGATTGGAAAAAGTCGTTACCCTTGCGTTCAAAGAGAAGCAGTCTGATACAGCGATCAGAGGTGAAATTAAATTTTTTCAACGACCATGACATGATCTATGAAAATTTCATAAGTTAAAACTGACCGAACGGGAAAAAAAATTGTATGAACATTCATTCAAACGATCCACGATTGATGCAAAAACTCGAATTAATATGGAATAACGACGGTTGGAAACCACAAGGCCTCGATGGGCGATCCAAATTCTGGAACCAATCACCATTCAAGAGTCGCGAGTCATCAGTCCTAAAATCGCCTCTGGACGTTTTTGTGCTAGATAAGAAACAATTTAAAAGTGGGCGTAATTCCGTTTGGCAAAATGGAAAATTGGGATTTTACATTTTATCAAAAGGAACTAAGCACCAATTGTTTGATAACTCATGAGCCGTGGGAATGTGTCAACAGCGTTGCGGACAGGGCTTATGAGCTAATGCGGGATCGTTCAGCTCGTCTAGACCGGTCTTCGCCGCTGACGTCACGGGCGCTGTATGATTTCCATTCATTTTTACGTCCCTAAACCAGAGATGGAAAGTGAAATATCATAAGGCTCGAATAAATTTCACAAAAGTTGAAATTTACTAATTTTTTCAGTACTACTAATTAAACCTTTGGAGGCCTGAAAGCATTTCAGATGGTCTCTCTGCTGATGCTGCGGTATTATGCTACTCTACTGAAGGTGCCAGACACAAAGAGAGGGCAAAAATAAGAGTTCAGAGAGAAGAACCCCAACCTAGCCTCTAAACTAAACGAAAACATTTGCAACGCGCGTCTGTTTTAGGCTTGGGGTAAAAAATTTCAAATTTTAGAATCACTGTTTATAGGCGTTTCTTAGCCTCCTGAATGTATTCCCAAAAGTTTCAATAAATTTCATGAAATTTTCCATCTCTGCCCTCACCTAACGAGTAAACTACTTCTTTCCCCCCTGTCTTTGCGGCTCGAATATTGATAATATGTCGGCCTGAAACGACAAGACGTAGCTAAGATAAAGATAAAGATAACTGGTGAATATCAAATTTAATGGTTTACATAAGTGTAAAGATTTTTATTGTATTGAATTTCCATTTAATTTTAGCTCAATTGATTTTTATGTTACTATAAGTTAATGGACAATTGTCTTATTTTGTCTTTCATTATCAACTATCACTTGGATTGCGTTTTGCAAAAAGGAACCAAGAGCATTCCAATGTCGCTGAGATGGTGCAAATCTTTTTACCTTATTGCAAATATAAACTGATCATCTAAAAAAGTTTTATCTTTACTCTCAATGAACCATAAATTCAAGACAAAAATTTCCTTCGGAAATTTATTTTTTTACAAGACTTCAGTAATTTAATAGCAAAGAATGTAAGCTGCACAATCCTAGCAACATTGGAATGCTCTTGGTCCCTTTTCGCAAAATGCAATTCACTTATCATCACCATGCAATATATCACAATTCAATGTCTTATCGGGCTACTCTAAAATTTCAATAATGGGATCGCTGGTTCCTTTTCGCAAAATGCAATTCACTTATCACCACCAAGCAATATATCGCAATTCAATCTCTTATCGGGCTACTCGAAAATTTTAATAATGGAATCGCTGGTTCCTTTTCGCATAAATACGTCTACTTTGCTTTATTCACTATCCAATGATTGGCAAGAATGTTCCAACCAGCAAGAAATGACGAAAGCCCCCAAAACTACCCAAAATTTTGTTTTTCCCGTTGAGTTGCTTCCCTTTCGCTTGATTCAGTTAATTAACGGAAAATTAGCCTAATAATGCGTTTCCGGTAAATTGATCTCCCCGTTTGGCAACGTTCGGGTGTGAGGCCCGCTTGTTTCCGGTTGCGAATATAAAGTGCTTTATTAACACCGAACCGCGTTAGGGGGCGACATATTTCGCCAGCAGCAATGAGAGCGCAACGCTGACGAATCGCAACGCTCCTATCAAAAAGCCGTAACTGCACACTGAGATGAACGCGGGAAAGCATGCGATCGTTTGGAAAATAGGGCTTATTGCAGAGTGTAGTTACGCCCTTTTGTCGAAAGGGCGGCAGAATGTACTCAAAATCGAATGGTCGGCCAACGGTTTTTTTCCCCTGGATCCGACTCAGCGGCGAGGTATGAGTGATCGATTATCGATAATTCCCCGTTTGAAGCTATGATAAATATTCGATTATTAAGATGTTCGTCGTGAACACAATGTATATCGATCCTTTTCCGTAGGTTTGAATGGCAGATCAATCGATAGATCGAAAAGCACGCCACGTCACTGGCGAGTCACTGGTCGCATCACGATCGCGGTGATTACCTTGACTATCGCGTAGCGCTGAATTCGCAGACTGTGACGTGACGTGCCTAGGTGGTACGTGACGGTGAC